AAAAAAAAAAAAAAAAAGGAAAGAAGATGTGCTTACAGGGTTTACCCATCACTGCGTCCAAATGGAAAGCTTTAAAAAAAAAAAAAATTACCCATCAGAGAACCTGAGTGGCTCAGTAGGTAAAGCGTCCAACTCTCAGTTTCAGCTCAGGTCACAATCTGCAAGTTTTGTGAGTTCGAGCCCCACGTCAGGGTCTGTGCTGACAGTGCAGACCCTCTCTCTCTTTCTCTCCCTCTCTCTCCCTGCCCCTCCCCTGCTCATGCTGTCTCTGCCTCTCTCAAAATACATACATGTAAAAACAACAACAACAACAACAACAACAATCACTGACCCATGGTCACCAAAATCGTGGTCATTTTCCAAGGCTTCGTGTCCTTCCCGGACACATATTAGCACCAGCTGCTCAGAGAGCAGTAGTAACTCAAGTGCTCTTTTGGAAACCGAGCTCGGAGTATGAGAGAAGTCTCTCAGTTCTCGGGTTCTTTATTGGTAGACGACCTTCTTGGAACCTCCTGGACCCCACCCACTTGCAGCTCCAGCCCTCCCTCCTCCCAAGCAGGGGCCCTGCAGTCCGCTGCCTCTTCCCAATTAACTAAGAGCTGGGGACAGCTTCCTGTCCCGGGGAGGGCAGGTCTGCCCCGGAGGGGCACAGGAGTGGGTGGAAGGGGTCCCGAGGGGCTCTGCACCCCTGCCCGACCAGACACAGAGGTGAGATGGCCCACCATCACTTGGCTGGCCAGGATTGGGGTATCTTTCCCACAGACTGGTGGTTTCTGAAGGTCTTCACTTTCTGAGTCATCGGGAAAGAGGTTTGTGGACTGATAATTAGCGGCAACCAACGGGGCTCCCAAAATACCAAATTCACTTATCTGCCTAATCTGAGAGGCCCCAGTTGCAGCTGTAGAGTTGAAAGGCTGCCCTGGGGCCCAGGCTCGGTGAAGTGGGACTGGGCTGGGCCTTGGCCAGGTTACCGGGTTCTCCAGGTGACTCTCCGGTGACTAGTTTGAGAACCATGGGTACTGGGAGTGAGGAACCTAGAACTTTCCGAAGCTCAACGAAAAGTCGATTCACCAAAATGTCATTCCCAGGCTTTTGACCTCTCCCTGGGCCCTCTGTCAAGGAAGAGGGTACCAGAGCCTCAAGTCCCAGAGGCCTGTCAGCCTCTTCCCCTCTTAGTGCTCTGGATTTACCTGGGCTGAAGGTAGGAGGGGGTGGGGACGAAGAATGGGGGAGGGGGCTTACAGGTTTGCCCAGAAAAAGAGGGACAGTGAATGAAGGATCAAGGTGGGGAGGGGGTAAGATCGGCTGCAGAGAGAGATTCATCAGGCCCTCCCAAGAGCCAAGGGCAGCTGACCTCACGTTGTAGGAGAGAGAAAAGGCAGTGAGGGCGACGGCTAGCCTGCTGGTCGCTGCGGGCCCACAGGGCTCTCTCCCAGCAATAGCTGTCACTAATTCTGTGGCATTCAGTTTCTCTTCCTGTTTCCCCGTCGGTAAAACCGGATGAACCTCTCTCACGTAAGGTGCTGTGGAGTTTAAACGTTAATGTGTGAAATAGGCTTGGCACATAGTAACCGCTCAATAAATGTTAGCTGTTCTTATTCCTGCCACTGGTTTTAATTATGACAGGTTTCCTCTTGACAGGGACAGTCTGGACAGTGTGGACAGTTAAGGCATTGCCCCCTTCCTCACTGCCCCAGCACCCGTGGCTGCTCCACCGGCCTTCTCCCCAGGCTGCAGAGGTTTAAGCACATGCAGCCTTGGGTCACCACAAGGGACCCAGATCACCCAGTCTGGAAGTCAGCCCCCGAGACAGCGCAGGGACAGTGTGGGGGAGCCCAGGGAGTGCCCTCAGCCTGGTGGCAGTGGCAGTAGGAGGTGAAGGGCAGGGCGGTGACCGTTGGGGGTGTGTGTGTGGGGGGGCAACTGGTGCTTGCTGCGGGCTCTGAACGTGGATAATGGGTGGAGGTACTGGATGGACAAGGACCACGGGGTCGGTCAGGGGCACCCTGCGGCAGGATTGGCCACGTGTCTCGGGACGGGACGCCTTGGGGTCCCCAAGGGTCTCAAGACACCGCGGAGATGTCGCCCCCGCCCCCCAGGCCTCTGCGGGGTGGCGGCACGACGGCCGGCTCCGCGTCGTCCCCTGGACCGGCGCCCCCCGGCGAGCAGGGCGGGCTCGGGGCTAGTGCGTCGCGGCACCGGCCAGCACGGTGGCCCGGGGACCCCCGGCCCTCGCGCACTGTCGCGGCGCCGGCTGTCCTTGTCGCAAGCGCTCGGGTCCGGCAGCGCGCCGGGGTGTGCGGCCCGGAGGTCAGAGGCGAGGCCCGCGGACCTCGTGCCCGAAAGGGGCGACGCGGCAGCGCCCTCGCCCGCCGGACCGGAAAGAGCTACCCAGGCGTCTCTCAGGGTGGCTGCGCCCGCCCACGCGCCGGGAGCCGCCGT